TAGCAGTGAAAATTCAGAACCACCTTGAAATGGTGACTATAAATAAGATTTTATACATTAAAAATATATTAATCACATTCCAGCTAAGGAAACATGTACTCAAGCTCAAGCAGGTTCAGAAAAAAAAATTAGACTGCACAAATGGATGACAGCCTATCAGTATAGCTCCTAGCATGTCTGAGATTACTGTGGAATCATGGGAGTAAGCTAGTCTGCTTGAACTCTTGAGTGGATAAAGTAAGTCATGAGAGAGAAGATTGGAAGGCAGATTAAAGTCAGCCTTTGGAGATTCTCCAGGCTTGGGCTAAAGCATCTGCATGTGTTAATGAGTACAGATCCATTAAGGACTAATAGTTAGAAAAACTGAATTTTTCCAGGTCTCCAAGCTGCTATTTCCTCAGTTCCAAGGAAACAAGAGCAGTAGACATTGATCTAGAGGACTTGGGTTTGCCTTCCAGTTACAATGGTGATTTGGGTTTAGTCCGTAAGTAAATATCTTAAACATTGAAATAATCCATGATCTTCTCTTGGTTTCAGCTTTCACTCACTGCCATCAGAGCCGATGAGAAGCCAACTGGCTACTGGGACATCAGCTCTAATTTGGAAATGTCTTTATGGAGATACCTTAATTGACATCCTCATTTACTTCTTACACAAGAAGAATCACTAAGCAATTATTTTTTCTCATAATCTTAATCAGACTTTCACCTCTGTGGATATGGAAGTGGGAAATCGCACCATCCTGACTGAATTCATCTTGGTGGGAATAACAGCAGATCCCCGGTTGCAGCCAATTCTATTTGGAATATTTCTGATGATCTATTTGCTAACCTTGTCAGGGAATATGACTCTGGTTATCTTAATCTGGATTGATTCTCGTCTTCACACACCCATGTACTTTTTCATTGGCAATCTGTCTTTCCTAGATTTCTGGTACACCTCTGTGTATACTCCCAAAATCCTGGTTAATTGTGTGTCAGAAGATAAGCGTATTTCATTGGCTGGCTGTGGGGCCCAGTTCTTCTTTTCCTGTGTTGTAGCCTACACTGAATGCTATCTCCTAGCAGCCATGGCTTATGACCGCTATGTGGCAATTTGTAATCCCTTACTCTATTCAGGTATCATGTCCATTTCTCTCTGTACTGGGCTTGTTGCTGGTTCCTACATTGGAGGGCTCTTGAATGCCATAGCTCATACTGCCAACACTTTCCGCCTGACTTTCTGTGGCAATAATGTCATTGACCACTTCCTCTGTGATGCACTACCGTTGGTAAAAATGTCCTGTACAACCACACATGTCTATGAAAAAGTGCTCCTGGGTGTGGTGGGCTTCACAGTCCTCTCCAGCATTCTTGCCATCTTGATTTCCTACTCTAACATCCTCCTGGCTATCCTGAGGATCCGCTCAGCCTCAGGAAGGCACAAAGCCTTCTCCACCTGTGCTTCCCACATGATCTCCGTCATGCTCTTCTACGGCTCCTTGCTCTTTGCATATTCAAGACCTAGTACCACCTACTCCCTGGAGAGAGACAAAGTGGCTGCCCTGTTCTACACTGTGGTGAACCCATTGCTCAACCCTCTCATCTACAGCATGAGGAACAAAGATGTCAAAGAGGCTCTCAGGAAGGCAATGCATACAGTACGACCACAAGGATGAAGGTCATCGTTTATCTTTTTAATGAGTACATTTATGATGTTATCCAAATTATTGGCTTATAGACATGTTTGGAAATGTTGTTCTATTTCAATTAAATTCCACAAGTTAGACTTCTTGAAATACTAAGTCACGTACTCTTTGATTTTTATTGTTATGTTTCTGTGATGTAAATTGTTTTAAACCTGTAATATGTGTTGTTTGATGTTCTGAGAGATTTCAGTTTGTCTCTTTGCAGTACAAGACTTTTCATAAAATTTGTCCTTTTGCTGGTGCCTTGGAATGAGAAAAAAGGAATAGGGTTGATTTTGTGCATATTGTTTGACATTCACACTTGGCAAGCAAACTCTGCTGGGTGAGAAGATATGGAATGATTCTACTGGTGAAGTTTGTTCTAAATTTTGCAAACATCTGTTGTTAGTAAGGTGTTTTCTACAAATTTCTACATAAAGTATCAGTTGAGTGTGTATTAAATGTCTGTGCAAACCTATATCTTATACTTTAACAAAATATTAGCCAAAGTGCTTAAGAATTGTGAGATTATATTAAAAAATGATTCTAAATTCTTAGAGAAAGAAGTTCTTGAGAATTGCATGTCATCCTAAAATGATTGGAAGCTCTGGTAGCGTAGGGTCTAAGGCACTTGACTGCTAACCAGAAACCTGGAGGTTGAAACCCACCAGCCATTTGGAAGGAAGGTTGGGCAATCTACTTCTGTAGTGATACCACCTCAGAAACCCAAGTCGGGTACGACTCGACGGCACATAACAACAACAACTACTAAAATGATTGATTTCTCCAGCATTTAGTGAGTACTCTACAGTATTGTTTCTCATGTCACACCTCCCTGTCTGCCCCCACTAGGGGAAAATTACAGGTTCTGGTGGAACAAAATGTAACAGACAAGAAAAGTGAAAAACAAACAAACAAACAAACAAAAAAACCCCAAATCCCACTATATTCTACATGCATCTTTTGTTTTCTTTTACCAGAAACTTCAACTAAGAAGGAAGTTTACAGCTCCAATATCTGACACATAGCAGATTCGCAGTAAATATTTTATTTAAGTTTTTCTAGAACACTCTAAGAATTATTAGTTTTATTTTACCAGTGAGGAGCTTGAAGCTCAGAAGTTAGATCTTTGCTACTGAAATATTGTAAAAAATGAGCACCTTTACAAAATGTATCTAAATTACAATGTTAGGACAAATAATTATAGCCATTTCTCCCTTTACATTAGTTCTGGCATTTCTAGCTTTCCCTTCCCTTGTATTTATTTTCTAATGCATCACTGCCCACTCTCTTTTCCTCACAAAATCCTTAACACTCTGTATTCTTTTATCAAAGCCCTGGTAGTACTAGAAGGGTTCGTGGTGTATTCCACAGACTTCAACTACCCACATAACATTTTCTTCACTTCCCCATAATAACCATCACATACAGAAAAAAGAAAAGTCAGATGAATCTTAGGGGAGATAGTTGTATAAAACTTAATCATTTGGGATCGCAAAAGAAATACACACTCTTGTTTGTTTTGTATTAAGCATGTTAAAATATATATATTAATCTGATTCTTCTTTGTTTCACATTTAACCAAGACACAGCTTTTCTTATTTTTTTTATTATGATTTGAGTGAAAGTTTACAGAGTAAATTCACTTTCCAACAGCAGTGCACATACACTGTGTCTCATGACATTGATTACAATTTACCACAATGCAACAACTCTCCTCCCACTTAATCCTGATAGTTACTTCTTCCCTTTATCCATCCCTCCATGCACTCTGGCCCCCTGAGCTGTCTCCCTGTGCATAAACACCCCTTCTGTGTCCCATGATTGTTCTCTTCAAGGAGTTTCTCTACCTCAGGTAAATGTTCAACTCATATGCTTGTCTTTTGTTTGGCTGGAAGCCACAGGTGTGGGTTCAATTTCAGACTTGAAGGGCAGCTAGGGGCCATAGTCTTAGTGCTCCCACTAGACTCTATCAGACCAGCAAACTTGGTCCTCCCTTTTCTTTTTCCCCAAATGATTTTGAGTTTTGTTTCACATTGTTCTTCCTCTCTATCCAGGATCTCCTACATAGATCTCCCTCTGAGTGGTTGACAGTGGTAGCCAGGTACCATCTAGTTCTTCTGGTCTTAGAGTCGTATAGGCTGAGGATCGGATAGTGTACCAGTCACTAGAACTAATTGTTTCCATGAACTTTTGGTTTTCTTCATCCTTCTTTGCTCTGGACAAGGAGAGACCCCTTGTTGCATCTAGATGGCTGCTTGCAAGCTTTTAAGATCCCAGTCACTCACCAAAATAGGAGGTGGAACAATGTTTTAAAGACACTGCTTTTTAAAGAACAGGATTTATATTAAACTGGATCTATATTTATAGTGGTTCCTGCTTGGCAACAACTGTCAAGTGATCAGCAATGTAAATAAGGTTTGGACTCACTTCAAAGCTCCTGTGCTTCCAAAAGGTCATAGGCATTCCAAAAGATCACCATGAGTCAGATTAAATGTGACCTGATGGGAAGTGTTTTTGGTACATTCTGTAGTACAGATTATGCAATACAATGCAACCATTGCCGTAGAGTCGGGTCCGACCCATAGCGACTCCTCCTTAGGTTTCTGTGGCAGTATCACTATGGAAGTAGATTGCCCAACCTTCCTTCTGGGGAGAGGCTGGTGGGTTTGAACTGCCAGCCTTCTGGTTAGCAGTCAAATGTCTTAGGCACTATGCTACCAGAGCTCCCAGATTATAGTATAATCATTAAAACAGAGAATCTAAAACAAAGAAATAAATCTTTCTCAATGAATTTTTTTAATAGAAAAGAGATTTCTTCTTTTAAATGCTAGTTCCCAAGCTTTCCCTTCTGAAGCATCCCATTATCATTCAACACTGATTTGAAAAATTTATGTCAATTTAGACTTCTGGCTGTGTTAATTTGAGGAGTTTTTTCAGAGCATCTTTCACATCTTTATTCCTCAGACTGTAGATCATGGGATTCAACATGGGGAAGACCACAGTATAAAATGTAGAAACCATTTTGTCCCTGTCAAGGGAATAGCTGGAGCTTGGGCGAGAGTAGATGTAGAGAATGGA